TGCTGACAGGAAAGCCTCAGGCAGTGTGATGGGGTGGGATGGGAAACAGAGAGGGTGCTCTTGCTTGCGGCGGAGAAGGTCCATGGGGGCTAATTCCTCATCTTAATTGGGGATGCTAATTGATCCTGGCAAAACTGAAAAATTAAGCAATAACAATAGAAGCATATTATTTAGAAATCTAGAATTGAATGCAAAAGAATCAGCAAAAAGATTTGAAATCTCCAAGATTTGTTCTGCACGTGAATACGCTGGTTCTGGGTCTCAGAGCTGTGCTACCCACTTTTACGCAATTTTGTGTATCAGGTTATAATTTTACTGATCACCCTTGATGTGACATCACTATCACCGTAGGTGAGCCAATATTCTTTAAAGTCTGTGGTTGGCACGTTTGGATAAAGACTGGCTTGCCTCTTCATTGAAGACGGCATTTTTTTTCTAATGGTTTTTAACCTTTCGGTCAATTTGAGTGGTATGCAAACAGGAGACTGGAGTAGAAACATGGTCATCCCACCTGCTCAAATTGGGATTTTTATTTTTTGTTTTTTAGTGGTTTTGTGTCTTGGTTCATGATGATGAGAAGGCTGTCACCATCAATATGTACATAATACCAGAGTTTTTCCTCTTCCGCTTTTTTTCTGCTTCTCATTTTCTGTAGGTTGGAAACCAGCTTAAATCATCTAGTATCAGTGAACAGGTCATGAGTCAGATCTGAGGGACTATTGTGTGAATAAATGTGTCTGCTATGGAGAATGGACTTTATAACATTGATTTTCACTATTCTAGAGCCATTATGGTCTGATTCTGTCCTTTCTCTTTTGATGTCATTGGATAAGGATGCTGGGCCTCCGTGTGTTTTCCTAAGTTTCCATGTCTGTGAGTGGAGAATGAACACATCTTGCTCAGTGTTATCCTTACCTCTGGGAACACCCAGGGCTCCCTATCATCAAAGAGTCATTTGTAGTCACTGAGCTGTTGCTATGGCAATAATCTTCCAAATACAACCATGTTGGATGAGAAAGGTATGAGACTTTTGTTTTAATCCCGTAACTGAAATTAAGGAAAGATGGTGTGTTAGCTAGGTTGAAGTTTGGAACACTTCATAACATGGGACTTCTATTTGAATAATTGCTCACAAATTATTAATAATTTTAGGAGGATAGTCCAAACATTATTTTGATTAAAGACGACAAACATGTTTCAAACCGTATCTCAGTATTGCCTGACTCATAGCAGATGCCTGAGACTTATTTGGAAGCACCTGTTTAAGGCATGGATAGCTTAGTAATCAACTAGTGATGTCTGTATGGCCACAGGTTTGCCTTCTTCTTTGACAGTGTATTGTCTTTCCTTACTATTTCTGTGCTTCTCATAATTTTTGTTGGAGACATACTTTGTGTCGTCCAGTAGAGACTGAGGCAAGTGGTTTCTGCACCTCGAGAGGGCATGCCATCTTGTTCCAGGCCTTTCGGGTGGAGGCGGGAGTGAGTCTCATTAGGACTTGAGTGGGGCGCCTGGGTGGCTTAGTCGGTTAAGCGTCCGACTTTCGCTTAGGTCATGATCTCGCGGTTCGTGGGTTCGAGCCCCGCGTCGGGCTCTGGGCTGACTGCCAGCTCAGAGCCTGGAGCCTGTTTCCGAGTCTGTGTCTCCCTCTCTCTCTGACCCTCCCCTCTTCACACTGTCTCTCTCTCCTAGAAATAAATAAAAATATTTAAAAAAAAAAAAAAAGGACTTGAGGATCTTTCTCTTGAAGGTATCACTGTGCTTCTCTTGGGCCCCTGAAGACTTCTCTTCTAAGAAGACCTTGTGTTTAGATAGGAGCTGCCTTGCCAGAGGTTTTTCTTGATGCCTGCTCTACCCTCAGCCTTAGGACTTCCCTCCACACCTGCACCAGAGGTGGGTCCTTAAGCTCCTGATGTCTGCCCACCAGAGCCCTGGTCATCTGTCACACGCTGCTCTGTCCTGGTGAGTGCAGTTGGCAAGGGGCACTTCTCTGCTTCTGGTCTCAGCTTCAGTCTCAGGCAGGATCTGTGGACCCAGTTTTAGAGCTCCTGCCTTTTGCTTGCTATAGAGACTGCTCATGGCCTCCACCCTGGGCATCTCCCCGCCCTCCTAGAGGGGGTGGGCGCTTTGTCTGTTCCCATCACATAGATCATTTCAGTTTTTCTAGACATGATTTTTAACATCCTTTAAAAGCTTCAACGTTGGCACAGAAGTAGAATAGGAAAAGTTTGTAAGTGAAATGTGTTCAAAATTGGCCTTAAAAAGCTTTTTTTCCCCTGATTATTAATATTTAGGTTTTGAGATCAAAAAGTGAAATGACAAGCTCTACGGTATTTCCAGCTGGGATTCTATTCACAAACTTATTTAAAATTAATAACCTCATGTTGTAAAATCTCACAAAACGTTAATGAGCTATCAATGCACACTACATATTTCTCGTAAGAGTCAGACTTGCTAGCGAACCACTGTAATACAAACAGAGAGAGAATCCTTTCCAAGCCAAATGACCTTTATGAATTATTTGCAAAATCCCCCAGCATGTCTGCTATACTTGGATACTTCATAAGAGGTGTGTTCTTTTTCAAGTGTATTTAATGCAATGTTACACATTATTTGATTCTGTGATTGAACACAAGACACTGACAAAACAATACCGTCCCCCAGAAGTGAGCAGCTGCTGAGTGATACCTCACTGAGGAAGGGCATTTGATTATTTCTGTTATCAGCTTGTAGCAGCAATGCTATCTTGTCTTCTCTCATTCTGCGACTCTTGTGGAAATGACATGGAGAAAATGAGAATTCTTATGTAGGATGCCATAGATTGAAATTTAAAATACCCCAAATAGCTCAATCTACCTAAAATGTTCAGTCTCTAACTGTTGCATTTGAGAAATTATTTTACTCCTAAGCCACAAACTTCTCCCCCAAAGACCCACAATCCAACAATTCTTCACCGTGCCAGGACCTTCACATCCACTCAGCCTCTCCCTTCCTCCTCTCTTACATCCTGGTTTCCCAGCTCACTCTATACTCCATTACAGTCTCCTCTTGTACCCTTTGCTCTCGATCCAGCTTTCCTAGCAAAATCTAGATCTTGGTTTAATCCCACCTTCTGAGTACCCTCAGTCTTCTCTGTGCAGCTGAGTGATTGAGAGGACTGAAGGGGATCTCATTTTAATTGCTAACTTAAATGAGCTCCTGGGGCCACCCAGGAAATGTAGATCATTTCTCCACCTCATGACCCACTCCCTTTTCCATGCTCCTAGATGTCTCGCCCAAACCTTTCCCTTCTCAAACACTTAACGCTTTGTCCTCGTGTTCAGGTGATGACTTCATTTCCTATCTCACTGAGAAACACCAGTCAGCAGGACAGAACTCCCTCGGCCCCTCCTGCATCACAACACTGGCTCATCATGTCCATGTCCACATGTTCCTTCCTGCCCCTCACTGTGGACATCTGCTCCTAAAGCCAGTGCTTGTCTCTGCTGGTTCTCCTACGTTCTCTGCTATATGGCACAGACACTGCATGTCTAAATAAAACAAAGTAGAGGCCAGATGACAAAAATGGCCCCTTCTGCATTCTTCTCTAAGTTTTCCAGCAAATTCCATGATTAGATCATTCACACTCAGTCTTCCCTCCTTTGCTTGAATGGATTCCAAGGAGGGTTTCATCTCAATGGATCCATGAGAACAGGCCTCTTCAAGATTCCCAATGACAGCATGATATTAATCAGAGAGTAATAGTCAGTTCTCATCTTTTTTAAAAAGTCTATTTATTTATGTTTGAGAGAGACAGAAACGGCACAAGCAGGGAGAGGGGCAGAGAGAGAGAGGGAGAGAGAGAGAATCCCAAGCAGGCTCCACACTGTCGCCACAGAGCCTTGACAAAGGCTTTACTTGACAAAGAAAAATTGTATGTCTGCATTTTTCTTTTAACTTCGTTGTTCCTTCTTTATTTCCTTTGATGGAATGTCTCACATCTCCAACCTCTAAGTGCCAGAATATGCCAATGTTTAGGTTTTGGCTTCTTTTTGTGTGTGTGTGCACTGGGTCTCAGGAAGATCTTAGTCAGCTTCTTTGACTATCACTCAGTGGTTAATGAAATGTAGATTTTCATCTGCAGCCCAGACATCTCCTTGAATCCCAGGCTCATACATCTGACCACCTTCTTAGCTTTCTACCTAGATGTCCAATATATATTGAAAACTTTAGAACTTATTTTGTGGCACATCAGTTCCCTTTCTACTAACAAACAACAGCAACATTTCCCTCTCCCAACATACACACACACAAACACACACACACACACACACACACACACACACACACACACCAAAGACCCCCATTTCTCCTATAGTCTTCCACATCTTCAGTAACTAGCAACACCATCTTGCTGTTGTTACAGCTAAAGATGGAGTCACAACTGTCTCATTTATGTCTGTCACATCAGCGTGCAATCTATTAGCAAATGTCTCCCCGCCCCCCATGCACACAGCTTGCTTCCTTTGAGACGGTGTTTGAGAACCCTTCCCTGACCCTCCTCTTTTAAAACAGGCCCTCATGGCATCTGGGTGTCTCAGTCGGTTAAGCGTCCGACTTCGGCTCAGGTCATGATCTCACAGTTCATGGGTTCGAGCCTTGCATCGGGCTCTGTGCTGGCAGCTCAGAGCCTGGAGCTTGTTTCAGATTCTGTGTTTCCCCCTCTTTCTGACCCTTCCCTGCTCATGCTGTCTCTCTCTTTCTCTCTCTCTCTCTCAAAAATAAATAAAACATTAAAAAATTGTCTAATTAAAAAATAAATATACAGTTGTGTTGTAATCTCGATAAGCCTACCATTGAACGCCCTAACAAAATACATGCTGGTAGAGATGTTGAGCACGTGTCCAGTTTTTGGAACTAGTCATTAAATGATCTGTCAGAGGGATGATGATTTTCATGTTTTAATGTCCAAAATTACATGACCCATCTTCAGAGGCATAATAACACAGTGTTTACGGCTATAAGTAGACTCAGCTGAAATGCAAAAGCACTCCTTTCCTGGTAGTGTGCTGTATTTATTAACTTGATGAGTTGGCCTTAGAACCATCCTTAGTCATGTTCCCAGAAATCGTTTTTGAGGACGTTCTCATGCAGTTTCTGAAACACTATTCTGCATGTGGGAGAAGTCACCAGCAGCGATGTACACTATCCCTTGCTTTAGGAGGTCACGGTCTAAGAAAATCAGCAAACATGTGAATAATGACTATTAATAACTCTGTGATATATGGAACAATGGTGGGCTGAAAAAAAAGCTGTGGAAGCCTAGAGTTACCTTAGGAAATTAGAGAAAACTTCACATCTGGTGCTGTGCAGAAACTGGGTTCACAGAGACAGGACCTTTGCCAGCAGGGATTACGTAGAACATCACCCAGAATGTTACACTGTCATGTGCAAAGTGCATGGAGTGAGTGGTTTGGTGTGACTGAAGGTCAAGGTGACTGGGGCCAGATGTAAAGCAGATTCAACCTGGGGACAACAGGTGAGACAGCTTGAGGGGTTTGAGTTTGCTTTTTCATCCCTTAGTATTTCGTATGTACATAACAAGTCGTTGTTAAGTGAAAAAGAAGAGAGCAAACATTTCTACTTCTATCCAAATACTTGTAGAGAGAAGGACGGAGACACAAAAAAAGTATAATTAAAAAAAAAAAAGGTTGTGTGTGCTTTGTGCATCCCCTGTGCCCTGCGGACCTCCCCTTCTCTTGCCACCTGGGGCCATTTTGCCTTCCTGCCAAGCAGAAGCCTGGATTTCTCCATAAGTCCCCGTCACCTGGGTGTGAGAGCTCTATGTTATTACTCACTCCTCGCTCCTGCTCACCCCACCTATTAGGTATTATGGTTTGCTCACACTTGCTGCAAATGCCCTTCTAACCTGCCCCCCATTGCCCTCAATATTTCCCAACTAGCTCCCTTTGCTAGCTTTCCTTCTCTTCCGTTCCTCTCCCAACCTTCTCCTAGGTTTCCAGTGTGAATCTCCCAAATCAGCTACACAGCCACTCAACGTCTTTCTAATATGAACAGAATCAAGCACAGATTCTTCTAGTAATCTTTGCACCAGGGCTGACATGTATTAGATGCTCACTAGGCTGTGGCCACCTAACGACACTTGCACAAGTTCATGTCCTTGGAAGGTGGGTGCTGGGGCACTGACTAGCTCCTTAGGAAAAGAAGCCTAAGCGAAGATCACCAAACATGCAGTCATCCGAACTGAGATTTGATTATATGATTATCCTTCCCATACTTTCATTTGTCAAATTATCCATATTTTTAAAGACTTATGTCAGGTGCTGCCATTTCCATTTTCTTCTGTGTGAATCCTCGAACTGAAGTTAAGCGCTGCCTCATTGAGATTCACATAGAATGTTGCCTCTCTCTAGGAAAGTTCAGCCTCTTCTGAAAGGCATTACAATTATTTAAGTATATGCTTTATGCATCTAAAAAACACATAAAGTGATATTTTGCAGACATTGAGGGAATTGTGTATGATTAGAACATAGGTCCTAAAGCAAACAGCCTGACCTTGAATATTGTTCTGGCACTCACTACATACATGACCTAAAATGATGACTTAACCTCTCTGTTTCATTTTTCTCTGATGCAAGATGGAGATGATAATAACACCTATCTCTCAAAGTTGTTGTGTGGATTCAATAAGTGGATACATAAAAATTCAAAATCGTGCTTGAAATCCAGTTAACACTCAATAGATGAGAACTATCAGTTTGAGTTTACGATGTCTAGTGAGTATCACTTAGCCTTTTGTTGGGACCATCCCAGTATACCACTGGCAGGTGACCGTGGGGGCAAACTGGGAAACAAACTCTTATTGTTACTTCCAGCATGTGGAATCAAATGGGGTTTGTGATTAAATACCATACAGAAGTAATGCTTTTCTCTTTATGTCTATTCAGTGCACAGCGTCTACGTGTTAGACATTCAGGATTCCAGGTCAAAGATGCACCCAGCCTCCAGGAGCTTATGTTGTAGAGGAGAAGAGTATAGGTCAGTGCTGCCCACTGGGTAGTTGAGGGCTGAGACAGCAGGGAGCTGGGGAGGGGCGAGAGGGGGAGGGGGCTTGCAGGTTCACACCCACCACCTCCACTGTTCCAGGTACTCAGGCCTCAGTGTCTACCCCGCCTGGGTGATTTAACCTTTTCATTCACGGCACTCTGTTAGATGCGGTAAGAGTTTAGACCACCTGCCAAGAATTCTGCTTCAGCGAGTTTAGAATTAAGGGTGCCAAGGAGAACTGATCTTCCCCTAAAACAGAAATCAGAAGTGTAACCTAAGAAAACACGAATAGCACCAAGAACCTTCTTGATAATGACTATACTGTTATTTAGGTAGCAAGTTTGCTGTGCCCAAATAATATTAAATACTATTTACAATTAATCTTTAATGGCAATTGTTTTATTCAAAAGACAGTAGAAGGACTGACAATATAGACATTCTGAATTACACCTGGAAGGATTTCATTGAATTCTTAGGGCCAGAAGAGGCACCAGGGAACCATTTTCTATATCTGGGGAAAACAAAGGCTGTGGGTTTTTTTGTTTGTTTTTGTTTTTTTGTTTTGTTTTGTTTTTTCACTGGTGTCAAGTCAATATATCTATTACAGAGAACACATAATGCATAATAATATACTCAGTAAGTACAGATTCTAATAATATAAATAAAATATAGTAAAATGTATCTAATATATGATATGCAATGAAATAAATATGATAAACATTTACTTAATGAGTCTGAATTAAGGAATTATCTGAATTAATGCTTGTAATTTTCATATTATTGAGTAATTATACTTCCAATTACAGATAGAGAAAGTGATTTGGAAGTTTTTTTTTAAAGGCTAATAAATGATCAAACTGACTTTCAGTCACTCAACGATTCCAGATCGTCTGCTCTGAGCTGGTATTCTAGTCTGTCTTTGATGGGATTTCATCTACACAGAGACTTCCACTTACAGGGATGGCCGCATATCTTCCAGATCTGGGAGGCACAGGGGTGGGGACAGTCTTCCCACAGAGGTGACATTGATCTGAGCCTTGAGGACACAGAGATGTGGGCCTTGTGTAGAGGACAGAGCCCAGGCTGAATGTCCCTGGAGAGCGGCAGGGTGCACGTGCACACAGAGCCTGGTCTGGGATTGTATGTTTTTTAGGGCCCTGACTCTGCTTAGTTTCCATGCCAGGCGTATGAATCTCATTTTGAATTCAACAGAGTCAGTAAAGGGCCATCATCTGTAAAGGGAAGGACCCTGACTTCTGTTATCAAAGATCAGCCCTGGTTCTTTATGAAGGATATTTACATTTTTAAAATGTTTGTTTATTTTTGAGAGAGAGAGAGAGAGACAGAGAGAGAGACAGAGTATGAGCAGGGAAGGGGCAGAGAGAGAAGGAGACACAGAATCCAAAGCAGGCTCCAGGCTCAGAGCTGCCAGCACAGAGACCGATGTGGAGTTTGAACTCAAGAACCATGAGATCATGACCTGAACTGAAGTTGGAGACTTAACCGACTGAGGCACCCAGGTGCCCTGTGAAGGATATTTTAAATGAGCAAACTGGAGGCTTCTCCAGTGATAGGTACATGGAATTCCTAGCAATTCTAAGTTCTATAGACTGAGGTGTTTCCATTTGCAAAGGTTGATTAAGCTTGGGTTCTTGGACTTTACAAAATACATGAAAATCAAACACATGCTGTACTAAGGAATTATCTTTTAAAATAATAATAAACATATGACTTGCACTGAGGTTATCTAGGGCTGCCATAACAAATTATCACAAAGCAAGGGGCTTAGAACAACAGAAATCGATTCCCTCACAGGTCTGAAGGCTGGGGGTGTGGAGCTGAAGTGTCAGTAAGGCCATCTCCCAGCGAGGACTCGAGGAAGAACCTTTCCTTGGCTCTTTCTAGCTCCTGGTGGCTGTGAGCCCTCGTGGCCATTGGTGGTTTACAGACACACCTCTCTTCTGTTTCTGTCATCACCTGGACTCCTTCCCTCCTTGGGTGTCTGGGTTTCTGCAGGGTCAGCAGAGAAGGACATCACTCACTGGGATCAAGGCCCACCTCAATCCAGTGTGATGTCACAATAACTCATTACATGTACAAAGACTCTCTGTCCAAATAAGGTCATATTCTGAGGTTCTGGGGGGCATGCATTTTGCAATGAACACTAACCCAGTCCATGCACTACATCTCATTGTTAAAAGCAAGGTGGAAAAATTAGTTCAAATAGACAAATGTTTTAAGTGGACAGTGGAAAGCAAATGGAATCACACTGATAATGGTCCTAAGAATGAGGATTCTTCATCCTCAGGGAACTTTACACCAATGGTGTATGTGTGTGTGTGTGTGTATGTGTGTTTTCCTCTCGACATCCGACAATGTTTCCGATTCCACAGTTGTAGTTTATGTCATAATCCGTCGCTGCAATTCACACAGTGGATGTTCACAGCCAAATTCTCTCAGGTTTGCGAACATGATTTTTCACAGCTACATTTTCTGTCTTTTTCATCATAGCCTCATAAAAGTACAGCTGCAATTACCAAGTATATTTTTATGGAAGCCACAATTTGAGCGTGCGATATGCATTCACTCCTGTATCATCTTGTCTGGAAAAATCAGGAGACAGAGTTGTGCAAAGAGAATAGAGCCAAGATGAGAGTGTGAAGCTCTGAAATACACACACCAACGTAAAGTTGGCGTGGGCACTTAGGAAGCTGTAACTCTCAGTTTGGGAGCTATTTCACCTTTAAGAGGCAACAGTGATAGATCAGTGAAGCAAGGTCCCTAATGAGTGAAGCACATGGATAGGAAGACGTATTCACTAAATAAGCATTGAGGGACAATATGAGGAGGCTGGGGTCGGCTCCCAGGGTCCTAGAAAAGGAGACATGCATTGAGCTCCTGGTACACTTTGAGTCTTTTATGACTTCCTGTCCATTCTTCCTTAAAGAGTGGGTTAATTTTACTCTTGCATCTCACATTCTCTAGTGTCTGGAAGGAATGGCAAAGTCCTATTAACTTCCCTAATGTCTAGCAATCACTCTTCCCTCCTATTTAAGAAACCCTATCTTCTTTAAAGCTGACGCTCCCATTGGGTGGTTGTTCACTGGTCTCTCTTACTGGAGACCCCACCCCTCCTCTGTCCACATTTCTGGCCCTTCATAATCTCCCTGTAAGGCCCAGTCAGTTCCCCGGGAGCTTGCGCTGCAAGCTGGGGTCCTACGAATTAGGCCTACGCTATTCATGCGTATCCTTCAACACCCTGTGAATCTTGTCATCCCCAAACTTAACCCACTATTAAGTCCTGACCATGAGAGCCCTTCCTCTCAGATCGTTTTCCTTGCTCTCTTAATTGGACACCACACAAAGAGCTCTGTCACAGACTTATTTATCACAGTGAAGTATTTGAAATGGTTCTATAAATCATGATCTATCCATTTGGAAGATTAAAATCTATGACGTGGAATCCTTACTGATGCAGAGGTAAGAAGGAGAATAATAACAAAGCGTTAACTTTTAAGAAGTTAAAAATCAGAACCATTTGCTGCTGATAAAGGATGAGTTTGCAGGAGAAGATTGAAAGGAAGTACAGCAAAATGTTAGCAGTGTTTGCACCTGGCTCTTGGAGTTAGTACTTCATTTTATGTGAATTTAAATAAGTAAATGTAGAGGTGCCTGGTGGCTCACCAGGTTAAGCGTCAGACTCTTGATTTCGGCTCTGGTCATGATCCCAGGGTCATGAGGCTGAGCTCTGTGTTGGGCTCTGTGCTGAGTATGGAGCCTGCTTGGGGTTCTCTCTCTGCCCCTCCCCCCATCACTTGCTTTCCCCCTCTCTCCTGCTCTCCACAATAAGTAAGTAAGTAAATATCATTATGTAGTAAAATAAATGAATTCAACAAGCATATAGGGACCATTATTTCTAAGCTCTCTGGTACCACTGGGGGCACAGAGATAAGTGACTTCCTTATAAGTTCTCAGAGAGATAAAAATATAGGGAGACATCAGGTTATATCATTACCATGAAAGAAATCCAACTTACCATTGTTTTTTAGCACCCACCCTATTTAAGAAAGAGTGAGGTTGGGAATCTGAAATCCCCAGGTATCCAGGTATGTATGCATGGATTATGTATATACACATATGATGCAAGTGGTATTCCCCACACCCAAAACTGGATGATTTCATGAATAAAGTGTAATGGCTTTAACTCTTTCAAAAGGGTTATAGAAGGGGAGATTTTAGTATCTGTGTTGACTTTGAGACTGGCTACCCAATCTGGTCCCAATTTATTTGTGAGGAGTATTCGTTGTAAATGGCGCCATTGATGAAGAAAGTGGCCCGCAGATGTTTCCTGTTTGTGCACAGTTCCCTACCCATCTTGCGTCCCCTCCATCCAATACCAGAGGCAGCATCTGTGCACTGGGAAAAGGGGAGGCTGGCAAAATAGAGTCAGATTCCTTCCGTGTCCAGCTGGGTCAGTGTTCCCCACTCTCTGGGGGATTTGGGGAGACCTCTCAGGCTTCCTTAACAATTTTCCTTCCGTAGGAAAAGAGGAAGCAGAATGTTCTCATTTAGAAATATTTTACCGTGTTTATTGCAAGTTTATATTAAAACTTGAGTAAAAGTAAGTCCTTGGAGGGAGGTTTACTATTATTTTTTAACATTCATGTCAATAAATAGTGTGACTATCTCTGTTAAGATGGTGATTTTTGATCTCATGAGTAAAATAAGAACCAGTATGAAAGTGATGATTAAAGGGGGTGGAAATAGGAAACTATGAGAAAACAGTGAAGCAAAGAGAAGCCTGAAAGTTGTCCTTTTCTCACCAGAAATTTGAGTTGCCTACTTCTTTCGAATCCACTATTTATTGTAAATCCTAAATATGCCCTTCCATAGGCATGTGCCATTTACTCCACAAACTCATCTCGTACGATTCACAGTGTAGCTGCTGAACAATCACAGCTTAGGGCAAAGCCCTAGCTACTGGGGAGGTTACAAGTCTCCTAGCAGATGGAGGTATGAGAATCTGTACACCCCATGGCCCCCAGGTACACCAAAGGACAGCAACACTACACACACACACACACACACACACACACACACACACTAAGTAAAAGAAAAATGAAAAGCAACAGTTGTGATTGTTCAATGAACTCGTTAAGAGTGGTGTCTGGAGGGAAACGAAATGAATGAAATATTGAGCTAAATAGGAATTCCCAAGGAGGAAAAGGCATTTCTGGAGGAAGGCCAGCCCTGCAAAGGAGCGGGGGGTCACCCATCAGGGAAATAGGTGTGGCTGGACAGAGCTGGGGAGGGAAGGGTGGGCTGTAGAGCCTGGTGGGGGTTCAGACCCTGGACCAGGCTATTAGGCTGTGCAGCTCAGTTGCTTTGCTCTGAGCTCCAAGTTTACTGAACTGTCTGTAGACTCCAGTCCACCTAAGAGCGATGGTGCTTACAGCCACCATGCCCTCCCCGCAGGGTCTCACAAGCATTATCTGAGTGAGTACAGGGGAATGCCTCGGAGACACTTACTGTGTCATACTTACCGTTATCGGGGTGGCGGATGTGGCAGATGCAATTTCCAGGCATGCAGAATGACAGCACATTCCTGAAGCCCCTTGAATGCCTTCCTGAGGGCTATGACCATTACCCCTTAAGGAATAGGGACTATTGAAGTAGGTGAAGAAGAGAAATATGAACAGTTTGTGTTTTTAAAAACATGAGTCCTACTGCATCATATTACATAGAATTGATTCAACTTTGATCAGGTACATCTCCTTTGATTTTCAGCTAACAGTATGTATTACAAAGTGCTGGTGATATACTTACTGCTACTGCCGAGTTTGTGATCAGGAATAAGTCCTCTCTTCTGGCATCATGCTAGATGACCTCTGAGTTCTCCAAATTAAAAAAAAAATCTACAAGCAGAAATAAGCAGTTGGGAGAACAGAAAAGCAATAGAAACTTAACTCATTGAAACATCTGTGTCATAAATTTTCTTGGTGTTTAACTTTTGATCTTTCTTATTCTGCTAGGTGGTAGGTGATCTCCTTTTATAACAATGGCCTCAGGGTAGTGTCATATTAAATGCCAGCAGCCCACGGGGCGCCTGGGTGGCTTAGTTGGTTAAGCGTCCGACTTTCACTTAGGTCATGATCTCGCGGTTCGTGGGTTCGAGCCCCGCGTCGGGCTCTGTGCTGACTGCCAGCTCAGAGCCTGGAGCTTGTTTCAGTCTGTGACTCCCTCTCTCTCTGACCCTCCCCTGCTCACGCTGTCTCCTCTCTCCTCTAGAAATAAATAAAACATTTAAAAAAAAAATTGCCAGCAGCCCAGGGATGCCGGGCAGGCAAGTTCTTAAGTGTCCTGTTTCCAACTATCTCCATCTGCAACGTGGGACTCATAATCCTCCCTGTCTGTTAGTGGTTGTGAGGGTCACAGGAGTTAATGTACAGTTAGCATGGGTGTTGTGATCATAGCATTGTGTAAGCGTCAGCCCTGGTCACTGCTGCTGTGTAGTAACAATGAGCCTGGAGGCTAAGTACATGTTAAACTTCACTTGGCTCGGGTGTGTTAGGACTTGAACCCCAACCTTATCTGAAGCCCGTGCTCTGTCTATCGCTCTGGCTCAGACACATGAGAAGACACGGAAGAAAAGCTGGCAGCCACCCCCTTTCTGCTTCCTAAGGAAGTGAATTGACAAGGGGGAGAATTAGATCAAGGGTGGCAAAGAGCTTGCTGAGAAACGATGGCCGTTCACAACAGGATACTAAAACTCCTGGGCTGTTCTCTGGTGGTTTGAAGGGTGAGAGGCGACTGCTATGGACGAGAGAGTGGGGAACAGCTGGTCTTCTGCACAGGGTGGGGGACTATGGTACAGGACAGCCTGGTTCTGCATGTTTTACCGTGAGGGAGGGTTCAGCTCTGAAGCACAAGAGCGCGATGCTGAACCAGGCTCAAGCTACATATAAAATTTCAGAACGATTTTGAATTAAAGGGCTGGAAAAGAATAATA